GAGAGAGAGAGAGAGAGAGAGAGAGAGAGAGAAAGGATAAAGTGTCATCCTAGTAGGAGTATTGCACAGCTCCTGTGGTTTAGACGCACCCAGCCTTTGAATAAATGATGGAAGTCCTACTTCTTCAGCCAAATGACTCCAGCTGAGAGCTTGCCGGTCATCCTGACTGATGCTGGAAGAACTTTTTCATGCTGTTAATTCACGTCCGAGGGTATTGATTTGAGCAGACCAATCTACTTTTTAAGAAAGTACATCCTTTGTCTTCTCAGAGTAAGGTGGTTTGATTGAATTTGAAGACTGGGTTGATTGAATTTGTGGTGCGATTAGCTGTAATCTAAGAGTCTCTTATCGAACTCTCGCAGTAGGTGTGGAGCATGTGGGCCAGCTGCTGCGGCTGGTTCTGTCTGGATGATTCCACCGTGGACGACACCAGAAGTAGCACACGTCATCAGGCCTTCACCAACTCGGGCTTCAGCAGTTACCCATCTCCCCCCGCTCCAGAACAGACATGCAAGGCCTGTGGAGGTCGCTTCGACAGCCACGCCAGAAAGGTAATCATTTTTATACTGATGTTAGTACAAAATGATGATGTCAAGTGCTTGTGAATGTCATTTTTTCAAAGTTTAGTGTTGTAGTACATGTCTCACATGGACATGGAAACACTGGAAACAACAGGGAATTTTAAAATTATGTTGACCTGGAAAAGTCATGGATATTTATATAATGAAAGAGAATCATGTTTGTATGTGAATGATTTTTTCCATTTAACGGTCTTTATTCAATCACACATTGACTGTTAAGGCCATGGAAATTCATTTGATTAAAAAGTCTTTGAGGGGATAGTTGACCCCAAAAAGAGATTATAAAACCGATTCCTGTTCTTATTTATGATTAGTTAAAACATTTGAAGTAAAATACTATATAAATCAGGCTAGTTGACGTTGGAAAAACTAGTCAAAATGTAGTCTTTTTGATGTTATGTTAAAAAAAAAAAATTAAAAAAAAAATGTGTGTATATATATATATATATATGTATGTAAGATTTTTAGACATTTATTTAGGGCCTGAATTTCATTTTTGAAAATAAATTCCCCTCTTAGGTGAGTCTTGTGAGAGGGGATTTTTTTAATTTGAAGGGTGGAGGGGGGCATCTTTTAGACATTTTTAAAATATATATATTTATCTCACCTAAATGTTTGATCATGCACTGCATTTTTGTTTTGACAATCGTGCAATTGTTGCACAGTAGCTTACACACAGCACAAGCCTGATTTCGTGAGCTGTATGTGACACCTAAATGTTTGATCATGCACTGCATTTTTGTTTTGACAATCGTGCAATTGTTGCACAGTAGCTGACACACAGCACAAGCCTGATTTCATGAGCTGTATGTGAGGCGGCCTTTTACACCAGGTTCACACATACTCCGTTTGCAGTGCGCATGCAGTCCATGTGTGGTACGTAAGCACCTAGAGAATAGAAAATGCAAGTGTTAAAGGGTCAAGTGTTTTTTTTTTATATATTAAATTAAAACAAATTTAATTTAATTAAATTATTAAAAACCACAAACTGTCTTAACCTACTGAGAACCTTATGCAGGTGAATTAGACTTTGCTAGACACACAAAATATCCTACACCTTGTGAGCTGCTTACTAAGGCAGCATTTTAAAGCACTAAAGGGGCCTTTCTGACCTGAATAGAGTTCCAAACAGAAGACAACCAGAGAGAACTCTAAAAGTCCATTACTTTCTTTTGATATTTTGAATAAACTTATCTGCTAAATGTAAAATTAAGCTGCACTTTAATGTATCTGCTAAATGTAAAATGAAGCTGCACTTTTTTTCTGTCAAATATGGGATCAGATATGCATTATTGGTAATGTATATTGCACTTATTGGAGCCTCCTAATTTGCTGCTTATTAATAGTTAGTAAGGTAGTTGTTAAGCTTAGGTATTGGTTAGGATTAGAATGGCTGTAGAATATGGTCATGTAGAATATGTGCTTTATAAGTACTAATAAACTGCCAATATGTTAATAATAATAGGCACTCTAATACGCAACTAGTTAATAGTGAGAATTGGTCTCGATACTTAAGTGTTACCCATCATCCTCATGTCACTGACAGATGAAGGAAAGGGCTTGAGCTACAGTTTATAGCCACCTTTATTAACTTTACAGCTGCCATACATCCTCTGTTTCACAAGTTGAATGAGTGACTGGAATCATTGTGTGAGCATCCTCATCCAGCGTGAATTATCCAGAATGCACTTTGTAAACTGGCTCGAATGACAGTACGATGATGCATATCGATGTCACAGCCATTGTACAACTTCTTTACTGTAGTGCATTGTCACGCCACGTTCATGGCGTTCCTGCACACACACCTTACGTAAGAGTAGAGTAACATTGGGATCTGGTTTCCTGAACTGATTTGTTTGAAGATATGGGATTGGAAGGTTTTGATGTTTGAATGCAAGCTGTTAGTAGACTTACTAGTGGGTAGGACATCTACAAAGCGCATCCAGTATTGTTATCTGAATAGAGCTCAGTAGTGACCACCCAGTTTTTTTCAGCAGCTTATTCTTACGTCAATAATACGCATTTAAAAAAAAAAAATTTTCCAAGCCTTGAACCAAACCAGCTAGTTCCATTATTAATCAGTATTACAACAACTGATTTGAAAACTACTCATCCCATGATGCATTATAAGCCGTTAACCAAAGCAAGCAGCTATAGGTGAATCACAACAACATTACAAACTTTGATTTAAAGCTAAAAAAAAAAAAGTATTTCAAAATTGAACAAAAGATGAAGGTTCAACACTGTGTTCTTAATGGCTTTAATGAGGGAAAGAACTACAGTCCCATGAAGCATTGAATAAAAAACAATGGATAAATATAAAACTATTTATTTAATGATGTTAATTATGCATTTAGAAACAATATATTTTAGGTTTGTTCTAATATATGCACACATATATATATATATATATATATATATATATATATATATATACACACACAAACATTTAAGTCTTTTG